GATCTGAGATTCAACAGTCTTGCACAATTCACGGCACTTACCAGAGCACATACCCTCCCCAGTGTCTATCACCCAGTCACCCCATCCCTCCCACCCCAACCCCCACTCCAGCAACCCTCAGTTTGTTTCCTGCGATTAAGAATTAGGAAATATATTCTTGTAGTTAACCACATCAACATATTCAAGGGGAACTATAAGGTCATCTCAGTGGTTGCAAAATTTTAAAATTCAACAGTCCCTCATAGTAGTAACTCATAGAAACTAGGAAGAGAATTTCCTTAATCAGTTAAAAGGCAGCTACCAAAAACCTATGGCAAATATTCTCAATAATGAAAAGTTAGAAATGCTGCCTTCAGAATAAAAAATGAGGGGTGCCTGGGTGGCTCAGTGGGTGAAGCCACTGCCTTCGGCTCCAGTCATGATCCCAGGGTCATGGGATCCAGCCCCACGTCATTGGGTTCCTCGCTCAGTGGGAAGTCTTCTTCGCTCTCTCCCTCTGCCACTCCCCCCGGTTGTGCTCTCTCTCTCTCTCTGTCAAATAAATAAAATCTCCAAAAAAAAAAAAAAAAGAATCAAAAACAGTTCCAATCAAAATCCCAACAGGGCTTTTCAAGGAAGATGATGAGCTGATTCTAAGATTTATATGGAAGGGGCACCAGAATGGCTCAGTGGGTTGAGTGGCTGACTCTTGATTTTGGCTCAGGTCATGATCTCAGGGTCCTGGGATGGAGCCCATGTTCAGTGGGCTCAACATGGGCTGAGTGGGGGAGCCTGCTTCAGGATTGTCTCCCCCCCCCCGCCCCTCCCCACCACTTGCTCATTTTCTCTCTCACTAAAATAAATGAATAAATCTTTAAAAAAAAACGTAAAATTTTATATGAAAGAGCAAAGGTTCAAGAAAAGTAAAAATATTCCTAGTGAAGAAGAAAAAGAAGTTACTGAGATTTGTTAAAAAAGTATAGTTATTTGGACAGTGTGTATTCATGTAGGGACAGATAAAAACACTAATGAAACAATAAAAATCACAGAAACAGACAAATGCACAT